ATTGTCCATCATGACAAACTATTATATCTGTCCAACTGTGTTGGAGCAGCCATTCATACCATTTAGATGTCAAGCAATTAGTGGATCATGTTTAAGAACAAAACAAGTAGAAAAGTGCTCAAGATGAGCTGTGGATATCTTAGCCAGCAAGCATCAGAACATTGCTGCTCTTGTATCTGCCATTCAAAAAAAAAAAAAAAAAAAAAAAAAAAGTGCATACTTTCAACATGTCGAGGACACGTGAACAATTCACCATACCACTTGAAAACTACATAATGACTGCTTCAAAGCAACTACAAAAAGTAACAGAAATAACACCGGAAATCATTCTCCCGATTCAGGCAATGAACTTTCCACAGACATTGTAAAAAATCTAGAAAATTTGCTAGCAAATCATGGACATGTATAATAAAAACAAAACAAAAAATCTCTCCCGCCAGTTATAAGCTGAAACCATCACATTGCGTTAGAAGGAATGGGACAGAAAAAAAGAAGGGGAAAAGCAGACAGTGAAGAGATCAGGCAAGTAGCAGAACTCTTCTTCTCTGCTGGGGACTCTTTAAAACACCAATAGTCAGTACAAAAACACTGTAGAAATAAAAAGAAATACATTCATTCAAAACTGACACTACGGTATATGACGATACTTGGAAACATTAAGTCACAAGCTGATACGCAAAGATGATCCTAGGTATCAGAGGAACTAAATTGTGAAACCCTCTTATCACTACAAGGAATATCTACTCATTTATATCATGCCTAAATTATAATATGCAGCTGTAAGGAACACACAGGCAAAAATTAAATGGGTTCCCACACTTACAGGAACACTGTTCCTGCAAGTGTTTTACAGTGTTTTACATGTCCAGGCAACAAAAAGTTCCAAAGTGTGTTTGTACAAAATGAAATCTTCAGGGAACCAAACAATACGAATTCCAGAGAACAACAGAACACATAGAGGTGTCTAGAGACGAAGTGGAAAAAATGCTTAAGGAGCTAAGTAAGAACAAAGCAGTTGGTCCAAATGAGTTTCACCATGGGTTCTGAATGTGCACCCGAGCTCAGCATTCCACTTCAACTGATTTTTCAGGCATCCCTGTGTACAGAAGTTGTAGCTGATGTGTGAAAAAAGGCTAACATAGTTCCAATCTACAAAAGTGGCAGCAGGGAAGACCGCCCTCAATTATAGACATGTATCATTGAAAAGTGTAATAGTAAAAATATTGGAAAAAAATAATTAAAACTAAATGGGTAGAACACCTGGAGAAAAAGATATTATATCAGACAGTATGGCTTTCGATCGGGAAGATCCTGTGTAACGAATTTACTTAAGTTTCTATGATCGAGCCAGAGATTTTACAGGAAAGAGATGGTTGGGTTGACTGCATCTATCTGGACCTAATAAAGGCTTTTGGCAGAGTTCCACATAAGAGGTTGTTCTGGAAACTGGAACATACTGGAGAGGTAATAGGTAAGCTTCTAACATGGATGAAAATTTTCCAAACTGACAGAAAAATGAGGGCCGTAATCAGAGGCAATGTATCGGATTGGAGGAATGCCACAAGTGGAGTACCACAGGGTTCAGTTTTAGCATCGGTAATGTTCATTGTCTACATAAACGATCTACCAGTTGGAATACAGAATTATATGAACATGTTTGGTGATGATGCTAAGATAATAGGGAAGATAAAAAAAAACTTAGATGATTGTCAGAGGTCCGCGGTCCGCTTAGATGATTGTCAGAGATCCTTAGAATCAGAGGTCCGCAGTTGTTCAACGTCCTCCCAGCGACTATAAGAAATATTGCCGGAACAACCGCGGACATCTTCAAGAGAAAACTGGACCGTTTTCTAAGAGAAGTTCCGGATCAGCCGGGCTGTGGTGGGTATGTGGCCCTGCGGACCGCTCCAAGCAACAGCCTGGTGGACCAAACTCTCTCAAGTCGAGCCTGGCCTTGGGCCGGGCTTGGGGAGTAGTAGAACTCCCAGAACCCCATCAAGCAGGTATTGTCATGCCCTTCAAGACCTGAACAAAATAAGTATATGGAGCACCACTTGGCAAATGGAATTTAATGTGAATAAATGCCATTTTATGGAATGTGGAATTGGAGAACATAGACTGCACACAACCTATAAATTATGTTAGAAATCTTTAAAGAATTCTGACAAAGAGCTAAGTAAGTATCTAGGGGTGGTTCTAGATAGAAAACTGTCACCTGAGGACCACATTAAGAACTTGTGCGAGGAGGCTATGCTACACTTTCTAACTTCAGAATTGCTTTTAAATACATGGATGGAGAAATACTCAAGAAATTGTTCGCAACTTTTGTTAGACCAAAGCTGGAATATGCAGCGGTTGTATGGTGCCCATATCTTAAGAAGCACATCAATGGACTGGAAAAGGTGCAAAGACATGCTACTAAGTGGCTCGCAGAACTGAAGGACAAGAGCTACGAGGAGAGGTTAGAGGCATTAAATATGTAAAAACTATTAGATAGAAGAAAAAGAGGCGATATGATCACTACGTACAAAATAGTAACAGGAATCCATAAAATTGATAGGGAAGAATTCCTGAGACCAGGAACTTCAAGAACAAGAGGTCATAAATTTAAACTAATGAAACAAAGCTGCCGGAGAAATATAAGAAAATTCACTTTTGTAAGCAGTGGTAGACGGTTGGACCAAGTTAGGTGAGAAGGTGGTGGAGGCCAAAACCGTCAGTAATTTCAAAGTGTTATATGACAAGAGTGCTGGGGAGATCGGACACCACGACCGTAGTTCTCATCCTGTAACTACACTTAGGGAATTATAGACAAAAATGGTACGGTTCCCACACCTACAGGAACACACAGGCAAAGATAGTACAGTTCCCACACCTACAGGAACACACAGGCAAAGATGGTACAGTTCCCACACCTACAGGAACACACAGGCAAAGATGGTACGGTTCCCACACCTACAGGAACACACATACCCAGAGGGTATAGACTCGTTCCTCTCAATGTTTGCTGATGATGCAAAAATTGTGAGAAGAATCAAGACGGATGAAGATAGAGACTACAGGATGGCCTGGACAAACTGGAGGAATGGTCTAGAAAATGGCTGCTAAAGTTCAACTCAAGAAAGTGTAAGGCAATGAAATTAGGCAAAGGGATCAGGAGGCTGAACATGAGGTACCATCTGGGAGGTGAAATCCTGCAAGAGTCAAATAGAGAGAAAGATCTGGGGGTTGATATCACACCGAACCTGTCCCCAGAGGCGTACATCAAAAGGATATCATCAGCGGCATATGCTAGACTGGCCAACATAAGAACTGCCTTTAGAAACTTGTGTAAGGAATCGTTCAGGACCTTGTATACCACTTATGTCAGACCAATTCTGGAATATGCAGCTCCAGCCTGGAGTCCATACCTAGTTAAACACAAGACAAAGTTAGAGAAGATTCAGCGGCATGCCACCAGGCTCGTCCCGGAACCGAGAAGTATGAGCTACGAGGAAAAGCTAAAGGAGCTGAACCCTCACATCCCTGGATAACAGAAGAGTAAAGGGAGACATGATAACCACCTACAAAATTCTCAGGGGAATTGACAGGGTGGACAAAGACAAACTCTTCAGCATGGGTGGGACACAAACAAGGGGACACAGGTGGAAACTTAGTACCCAGATGAGCCACAGAGATGTTAGAAAGAATTTTTTCAGTGTCAGAGTAGTTAATAAATGGAATGCACTAGTCAGTGATGTGGTGGAGGCTGACTCCATACACAGTTTCAAATGTAGATATGATAGAGCTCAGTAGGCTTAGGAATCTGTACACCAGTTGACTGACAGTTGAGGCGGGACCAAAGAGACAAAGCTCAACCCCCGCAAGCACAATTGAGTACACAGGCAAAGATGGTACAGTTCCCACACTTACAGGAACACACAGGAAGACAGTTAAGACCTGCAATGACATGGTTCCCAGAGCTAAGAAGGATGAGTGATGAGGAAAGGCCCAAGTCACTATACCCAGACTAAAAGACAGGAGAGAGAGAGAGAGAGGAACGTGATACTGTAACAACCATTTTTAAAGGGATATGAGAAGACAGACGTTTTTATAATCTGTTATTGACCAAGAACTCACAGTTGCAAACTATCAATATTTTTTTTTTTTCAGAAACATTTGAAAAAACACAATCATAAATAAAGTGGTAAATAATTGGAACAAACCATTGGTTCCTGGAACACCACAATCATTGTTTCCTGTTGACTACAAAAAAAAGGAAATAAAACACATGTACCAGTGAGCTAAAACTATAGTTGCTGATTTGTATGTCCTAGATATTGATACCTTTTAAGGTACTTCTGAAACCTAGTCACACTCCCATAGCTAAATTGAAAAGCAAAAAAGAATTAAGAGAAACCACAAGGTCTTCTTTGAGTGCCCTTTATTCTCTTCTCTGAGGCTATGGGTCCCCATATTATTGCCACTGGTAATATAATTAAGTACTGTATAAATATATTTTATACATGACAATTGCAAAAAAGGACAAATAATGTACAATAACAAAGAATTTTCAAATTTATTTATACTCAAAACTAATTTAAAGTTTGTATCATTTATTAAAATCTTTATGAGAAATACTTAATGCATTTGTAGACCGTTTGGTGAATATTTAATACGTCAAAAACAACTATGTTATCACAAAGAATTGTTACGGACATACTGTAGCAACAAAATGAACTGTGGTAAAAGTTTGCTAACATCCTTCTAGTGAAATACCATGAAAATGTTTACCATAATGTTGCAATACTGTGGGTTTTAGCCTTCACAAGTGTGGTATTGTTGATACATGTGTTTTGGGTGCAACACTATGAAAACAACGTCAATTTGAAAACACAAAACAGCCATTGCATATTATGTGAAGTGGCCAGTTATACTGTACGTACTACCAATAATTCCACGTTCCAGTTTAAGAAGCGTCTGCAATGGATTAACATACAACACACAGACCCTTCATTTACTTTGGTTTTCCAGTAGATTGTTCTGCTTCTTTAGATCATCGATGTCTTGTTGGTGGGCAGAGTTCTTCCGTCTCATGAATTCTATGTAGTCGGCCGCTTTCTTCAAAATTTGTGCACGACTTGCCTGCAAATTCTTTATTCATTAATGAAAAATTCACTCAATCAAGTTTTAAATTCAACATGTAAATACTAAAATTAGAAGAAAGAGGATAAATATTAGAGAAAGCATGAAAGGTCATGAATGTAGTGTGCGAATGTGTATCTACAGTACTGTCAGGCATGCCTGGTGCCTTAAGCTAAAGGGGAATAATATACGAACAGTAAAGCATCAAACAGTGGTTGGTTGCACTGATATTATCCAGTGCATAAAACTGTTACCAGTGGCAACTTTCCTCTCTTAACAATTTACTTCACCTGCAGTCTGCTGATGTTATCCTACCCAGTTCCATGTTATTCCCAATATCTTTTATGTCCTGAGTGACACCTGAACAGTGGAAGGAATAATATAGTGGGGTAAGACCGGTACATACAGTAGTGTATATGGGTGATGAACATGCCTCATTTATTTGTGCATTTCATACTATTGCATAATTTATGCAATACAATTTAGTAAGCCTAAAATAATCATCATTATTACCCAGCATTCCAGGAGAGGAGTATACAAAAAGAAAAAAAAAGTAAGAGTTGTTGAAAATTATACCCATCTATTCACGTATCGTGTACACTGTATAACATCACGACGAACCAGCAAATCATCCTGGATTATACCTGGAGTGAAATCTGGGAGCTCTTCTACTCCCCAAACCTGGCCTGGGGCTATGTTTGACTTGTGATAACTTGATCCAACAGGCTGTTGCTTGGAGCCACCCCCAGGCCCTACAGTTGCAACTCTCATCTTTATAACTAGGTGTAGTGTTATACACGAGTTGTGTGCAAGCATTCATTCCCTAATAACAAAATGCCTTGTTCCTAAACACTTCAGGTGCTGTTCATATACCCTTTTCTCTTACAGGCTCCATCATGTCAGCTCTTTCTTCTACTTCCCCCTCCTCCAATCCTCAAGTTCACTTGTCACCAATTTATCATCATTCAGTCATCAACACGACTAAAACCATCTCGGTACACACGTAAATGCTGTATTACAATTTACTGACTTCAATCTTCCCATTTTCACTACTTAACTCTCAACACCACACATGCATCTTACATTATGTCTACTGCTATACATTTGTTATCATACTGATGTCACAGCAGGATCCCACAAAGGTAATAACTCTTCTTAATTTATTTGTCTGCTTCTCTTCCCATTTTTTCTTCGAAGCTCGGACTTTCCTGCAACTTTCCTTGCCTAACTCAACATTGCACAAATTCCTCTTTTGCCAAAAACTCCAATTAACATTTATTTCCACCTCTTCAACACTATAATACAACTTTTGTCAACAGCCACTTTCATCAGTCTGCACAAACAACCAACAAACTTTGGACTAATGCACATAAATACAGTATCTCATTTGCAACTAGAATTGTATTATCTGTACAACACAGACTACATACATCAAATTCGTATACAAGGCTTACACCCTTCTCTAAACAGTTGTCTGTGATGCTACAGTGTGTGGTGGCGACGGTTGTCTGTGATGCTGCCGAGTGTGGTGGCGACGGTTGTCTGTGATGCTGCCGAGTGTGGTGGCGATGGTTGTCTGTGATGCTGCAGTGTGTGGTGGTGAAGGTTGTCTGTGATGCTGCCAAGTGTGGTGGCGATGGTTGTCTGTGATGCTGCAGTGCATGGTGGCGATGGTTGTCTGTGATGCTGCAGTGTGTGGTGGCGACGGTTGTCTGTGATGCTGCAGTGTGTGGTGGTGAAGGTTGTCTGTGATGCTGCCGAGTGTGGTGGTGAAGGTTGTCTGTGATGCTGCAGTGTGTGGTGGTGACGGTTGTCTGTGATGCTGCAGTGTGTGGTGGTGATGGTTGTCTGTGATGCTGCAGTGTGTGGTGGTGAAGGTTGTCTGTGATGCTGCCGAGTGTGGTGGTGAAGGTTGTCTGTGATGCTGCCGAGTGTGGTGGTGATGGTTGTCTGTGATGCTGCCGAGTGTGGTGGTGACGGTTGTCTGTGATGCTACAGTGCGTGGTGGCGATGGTTGTCTGTGATGCTATAGTGTGTGGTGGCGATGGTTGTCTGTGATGCTATAGTGTGTGGTGGTGATGGTTGTCTGTGATGCTATAGTGTGTGGTGGTGATGGTTGTCTGTCTGTGATGCTATAGTGTGTGGTGGTGACTGGTTGTCTGTGATGCTGCAGTGTGTGGTGGTGATGGTTGTCTGTGATGCTACAGTGTGTGGTGGTGACGGTTGTCTGTGATGCTACAGTGTGTGGTGGTGACGGTTGTCTGTGATGCTACAGTGTGTGGTGGTGACGGTTGTCTGTGATGCTATAGTGTGTGGTGGTGATGGTTGTCTGTGATGCTATAGTGTGTGGTGGTGACGGTTGTCTGTGATGCTACAGTGTGTGGTGGTGACGGTTGTCTGTGATGCTACAGTGTGTGGTGGTGACGGTTGTCTGTGATGCTACAGTGTGTGGTGGTGATGGTTGTCTGTGATGCTATAGTGTGGGTGGTGGCTGTTGTCTGTGATGCTACAGTGTGTGGTGGTGACGGTTGTCTGTGATGCTATAGTGTGGGTGGTGACGGTTGTCTGTGATGCTATAGTGTGGGTGGTGGCGGTTGTCTGTGATGCTATAGTGTGTGGTGGTGGCTGTTGTCTGTGATGCTATAGTGTGTGGTGGTGGCGGTTGTCTGTGATGCTACAGTGTGGGTGGTGGCTGTTGTCTGTGATGCTATAGTGTGTGTGGTGGCTGTTGTCTGTGATGCTATAGTGTGTGTGGTGACGGTTGTCTGTGATGCTATAGTGTGTGGTGGTGTTGTCTGTGATGCTATAGTGTGTGGTGCTACTGTGAGTGTGTGGTGGTGACGGTTGTCTGTGATGCTATAGTGTGGTGGTGGCTGTTGTCTGTGATGCTATAGTGTGGTGGTGGCTGTTGTCTGTGATGCTATAGTGTGGTGGTGGCTGTTGTCTGTGATGCTATAGTGTGGTGGTGGCTGTTGTCTGTGATGCTATAGTGTGTGTGGTGGTGGCTGTTGTCTGTGATGCTATAGTGTGGTGGTGGCTGTTGTCTGTGATGCTATAGTGTGGTGGTGGCTGTGTTGTCTGTGATGCTATAGTGTGGTGGTGGCTGTTGTCTGTGATGCTATAGTGTGGTGGTGGCTGTTGTCTGTGATGCTATAGTGTGGTGGTGGCTGTTGTCTGTGATGCTATAGTGTGGTGGTGGCTGTTGTCTGTGATGCTATAGTGTGGGTGGTGGCTGTTGTCTGTGATGCTATAGTGTGGTGGTGGCTGTTGTCTGTGATGCTATAGTGTGGTGGTGGCTGTTGTCTGTGATGCTATAGTGTGGTGGTGGCTGTTGTCTGTGATGCTATAGTGTGGTGGTGGCTGTTGTCTGTGATGCTATTGTCTGTGATGCTATAGTGCAGTGTGTGGTGGTGACTGTTGTCTGTGATGCTATAGTGTGGGTGGTGGCTGTTGTCTGTGATGCTATAGTGTGTGGGTGGCGGTTGTCTGTGATGCTATAGTGTGGGTGGTGGCTGTTGTCTGTGATGCTATAGTGTGTGGTGGTGGCTGTTGTCTGTGATGCTATAGTGTGTGGTGGTGGCTGTTGTCTGTGATGCTACAGTGTGTGGTGGTGGCTGTTGTCTGTGATGCTATAGTGTGTGGTGGTGGCTGTTGTCTGTGATGCTATAGTGTGTGGTGGTGGCTGTTGTCTGTGATGCTATAGTGTGTGGTGGTGGCTGTTGTCTGTGATGCTATAGTGTGTGGTGGTGGCTGTTGTCTGTGATGCTATAGTATGTGGTGGTGGCTGTTGTCTGTGATGCTACAGTGTGTGGTGGTGACGGTTGTCTGTGATGCTACAGTGTGTGGTGGTGGCTGTTGTCTGTGATGCTACAGTGTGGGTGGTGACGGTTGTCTGTGATGCTACAGTGTGTGGTGGTGACTGTTGTCTGTGATGCTATAGTGTGTGGTGGTGACGGTTGTCTGGGATGCTGCAGTGTGTGGTGGTGGCTGTTGTCTGTGATGCTACAGTGTGGTGGGTGGCTGTTGTCTGTGATGCTATAGTGTGTGGTGGTGGCGGTTGTCTGTGATGCTACAGTGTGTGGTGGTGGCTGTTGTCTGTGATGCTACAGTGTGGTGGTGGTGACTGTTGTCTGTGATGCTACAGTGTGGTGGTGGTGACGGTTGTCTGTGATGCTATAGTGTGTGGTGGTGGCTGTTGTCTGTGATGCTATAGTGTGGTGGTGACGGTTGTCTGTGATGCTACAGTGTGTGGTGGTGACTGTTGTCTGTGATGCTACAGTGTGTGGTGGTGGCTGTTGTCTGTGATGCTACAGTGTGTGGTGGTGACGGTTGTCTGTGATGCTACAGTGTGTGGTGGTGACGGTTGTCTGTGATGCTACAGTGTGTGGTGGTGACGGTTGTCTGTGATGCTACAGTGTGTGGTGGTGACGGTTGTCTGTGATGCTACAGTGTGTGGTGGTGACAACTGTCTACTCTTCTCCTTTATACCGAGTAACTGTTTGTTAAACATTATCTAAAAGAACCAATTTAGGATTTGTTTTTGCTTGCCCTGCAATATATATACTGTAAGTCAAATTGTATTTTTTACTTCACAAAGTTCTTTTTTATAACTTTTATTATTCTTGATTGTTTACATATTGTTTACCCAATTTTTTCTTACATCCTGGTAGAACAGTCAGGTTTGTTCTCGACTCCCAATCGAAAATTCCGAGTTCGAGTCCTGGATGGGACAGAAATGATTGGGTTTCCTATCACCTAGTGGATCTGTTCACCTAGAATTCAATAAATACCCAGGAGTTAGCTAGCATGTTGTGGGGTTGAGTAGCATTGGTCTTTCGATAATAAAAATTTAGCTTTGAAGAAATAGCTTAACAGAAAAATGGAGTTAAAGGAGAAATTGAATAAAAACTAAACCTAGATGGAAAATGTGCAAGTCTTACCTTTTCTCCCTGCAGGGAGGGAACAGAGTCCCTCAGAGAACAGAAAGAGTCTTTAATATGGTCCCGACGTTTCCTCTCCAGGGCATTATGGTGTGCTCGTTTTTCTGCCTGAGATGCAAACTGAAATTCACCCCGTGCACCACCTCCAAGCGACTCGTCATCCTGTCAATAAGGAATTATATATAGTTTCTCCTCACTTAAAGAAAATGTGTGCAATTAAACTGACAGCTGTGAAGTGTATTAATGTCACTTGTAGTGCATCTTTTGCATTCTTCTCTATTGTAAATTTAAAAAAATACTGTGCATAGAATCACATCAGTACAATTCAACACAACATGGCCTTAAATGTAAGGTCTCATGTGTCAAACGTAAGTAATGTTTAAAGTTTGACACATGAGTGTCCTTGGATATACGAGATTGGGTGGTTATAAATAGGAGCTGCCTCGTATGGGCCAATAGGCCTTCTGCAGCTACCTTTATTCTTATGTTCTTAAAGAAGGTAGATTCTGCAGGGCCACTGTGGTATGATCTTAAAATATGCACAAGATCATAAGCACTAAGCAAACTACAGAAGGTCTTTTGGCCCGTGCAAAGCATCTATTCCCAGCACTGTTAAGTATATCCAATCACTCCCACTTAAATACTTATCCAATTTATCTTTAACCCTTATATAGTAGTTATCGTCATCCGTTGATTCACAGGGTAATGTGGTTATTGTCACATGACAAGTTAAACAATTACTGTCTGGGTTTTACATGTATGATACAAATATGGATATAATGGAGTCTATTTTGACCCATGATAAAACTCCTGCTACCATTTCAATGTTACGTGTACTAGGTGAATGCGGTTATTGTCATGAATATTACTTGGGGAATGCGGTCATCATCATATGACGATTTAAACAATTACTGTCTGGGTTTTACATGTAGGTTGTAAATATGGATACAATAGTGCTTTGTGGATGTAATGTAGTTTACCTTGATCCACAAAAAAAAATCTTGGTAACATTTCATGTTTCATGGAAGCCACCAATAAGAGCCCTCCACAAGAAGGTAGGGAAGAGTCTGAAAACCAAGAAACTTAACCCTGATGTTGTAAAAGGGTCCCAGTAGCACAGTCGGATTTGTTCTCGACTCACAATCGAGAATTCCGGGTTCGAATCCTGGGTGGTGCTGAAATTGCTGAGTGTGTTTCCTTTCACCTACTATCCCCCGTCCACCTATTTATTTATTTTTATTTATATATATATACAAGAAGGTATATTAGTAAATAAGTACCCAGGAGTTATGTCAGGTTGTTGTGGGGTTGCAGTAATTTGACCCTGGGAAAGGGGAAGGGGACCTTAATATTTAGCCTAATATATACTGTATGTATAAACTGGCTACCTATCCCCCAACACAATGAATTATTATTATGAAACCGACTGACTGTTACCCAAGGCCAATCCTAAGAGAAATGTAGCTTCAAGCATTCAGTCTCCTGGCAAACCAAGATCCACTACCTGCTTCCCCTACAGGAGATGGCAAAGAAACAGACTCCAAACGTGGAGATCATTAGAATCTCCATATTTAAGTACTCTGCTTCCCTATATCTTTAATAAAACATGGGTTAGTCCTGTGTCTTACTGCCCTCCTTTTGACAAGGTCAAAATGTTTTGGTTGATGCTAAGAAAGCAGTGTCCTTGTGGGGCATTGAATTATGCTTTTCACTAAACTCTCAGTTCCTGTTACTAAAGGAACAAAACCATTTGCAAAATACACTTGGCTGTGGGAATTGAGTCATTCACAGCTTAACAGACTATCAAGTGTCCAGTGCATAAGGCTAGGGAAGCTATCAAGTGTCCTGGACAGGTCCAGTGCATAAGGCTAGGGAAGCTATCAAGTGTCCTGGACAGGTCCAGTGCATAAGGCTAAGGAAACTATCAAGTGTCCTGGACAGGTCCAGTGCATAAGGCTAAGGAAACTATCAAGTGTCCTGGACAGGTCCAGTGCATAAGGCTAAGGAAACTATCAAGTGTCCTGAACAGGTCCAGTGCATAAGGCTAGGATAGCTACCGAGGGAAACGTTCTAAAACTGTTCTGGAGGCAGGGAGTGAGTGTAATTTAAGTGAAAGTTTCATATACTGTATTATAAATATAAGCCACAATTTTCAGAAAAAATAGGAACCTCATTTTGTTACAAAATACATTTATCTGTCCAGCTGTAGTGATTGCTCTTCTAACATAAGTTTAGTTCATACATCTTTTTTGTAATGAATGTTAGCACCGGAATAATACATTATATTTTCAAACACTTTTTGAGATGACAGTCTTTACTAAAGATACACAGTCAGCATCAAGTGATTTACTGCTACTATCATGCGAGGGAAGACCCCCCTTGGTAAACAATAACATTATAGCAGGAAATCAACCTGGAAATCACCAACCACAGGTCAGAGAACTACTGAGATTCTGTGACAAGTTATCGCGCAGTCAGCAGATTACAGAACCGACTAGGAACGAAAACACGCAGGACCTGATATTCACCAACAATGATGAGCTAATCAGAGATATTATTGTCTCAGACACTACGTACTCGAACCACAATCTCATTGAAGTGCAAACTAACATTAATAACAGTAGTAGGCCCAAGAGAAACAACAAGCGAGAAGGGTTATTCAATAAATTCATTTTTAATAACAAAAAGATAGACTGGGGGAAAATAAACAGGGAACTTACAAACATTCAATGGGAAAATGTTCTAAGAAATAAAAATCCTACACAAAGAATAGAAAAACTGACTTCTGAAGCATATGATGTCTGAAACATATTCCCTTGAGGAAAGTCAGAAAGAAGTCCTATGTAGAAAAATGACACAGACATTACAAAAGGAGGAAGAAATTAACGGAAATGCTTAAGCAGACACGACTTTTCATACAAAGAAGGAATAACTTAAACAGGGAGATTGAAGAAATCGAACAAAGACTGAAGCATTCATATCAGACTGAAGAAAGGCCACTAGAACAAAAGCAATTCAAGAAATAAAGAAAAACCCAAAATATTTCTTCACATATGCTAAATCAAAAGCAAAAACCACTGCCAGTATTGGACCTATTCGTATTAGTGAAGGTTCATACACGTGGGATGACAAAGAAATTGGTGAAATCCTAAAAAAGCAGTACGAGGACATGATTAGCACTCCGATACACAGCATGAAAGTGGAAGATCCGGACAACTTCTTTATGCGTGATATCCAAACACCTGTAAATATGACATATCAACACGAGCGTAGCAGATTTTGAAAGAGACATTTACAATATGCCCATGCAATCAGCCCCGGGTCCAGACTCATGGAATTCAATATTTATAAAGAAATGCAAAGTGCCATTAGCACAGACACTCAGTATAGTGTGGAGAAAGAGCTTGGACACGGGAAATACCAGATGCGCAGAAAGCGGCAGACATAGCCCCTCTACACAAGGGAGGGAGCAAAGCATTGCCAAAGAATTATAGACCAGTTGCACTAACGTCCCACATAATAAAAGTATTTGAGAGAGTGATCAGGAGTCAGGTCACTAGATTCATGGAAACCAATTACCTCCACAATCCAGGCCAACATCGATTCGGAGCGGGAAGATCATGTCTCTCACAGCTACTTGATCATTACGACAAAATCACTGAGGCATTAGAAGAAAAGCAGAATGCAGATGTTGTATACACAGACTTTGCAAAGGCATTCAACAAATGTGACCATGGAGTGATAGCACACAAAATGAGGTCAATGGGTATAAAGTGGGACACTGGATACTCAATTTCCTGTTGAATAGAACACAAAGGGTAACAGTCAATCAAATAAAATCGAGTCCGAGCGCAGTTAAAAGCTCTGTACCTCAAGGTACAGTCCTTGCACCACTGCTGTTTCTTATTCTCATCTCAGATATAGACAAAAATACAAGTCACAGTTTCATGTCATCCTTTGCAGATGATAAATCTAAAACAATACAAGGAACAAAACACAATCGAATCTGCCCATAGTAGGAAAACAGCATGCCAAGGATTTGGGAATAATGATGTCCGACGACCTAACATTTAGGGAGCATAACCAAGCAAATATTGCGTCGGCCAGAAAAATGATAGGATGGATTACGAGAACCTTCGAATCCAGAGATCCCATCACAATGGTTGTACTCTTCAAATCACTTGTGTTGTCCTGTCTTGAGTACTGCTCAGTACTCACTTCCCCCTTCAGAGCAGGAGAGATTGCTGAAATAGAGGGAATACATACGGCACGCATAGATGAGATAAAACACCTAAATTATTGGGATCGTCTCGAAGCCCTCCAAATGTACTCACTAGAAAGGAGAAGAGAGAGATACCAAATAATATACACATAGAAAATACTGGAGGGCCAGGTCCCAAATCTACACAGTAAAATAACACCGTACTGGAGTGAACGTTACGGACAAAAATGCAGAATAGAGCCAGTGAAGAGCAGGTGCGCCATAGGCACAATCAGAGAACACTGTATAAACATCAGAGGTCCCCGGTTGTTCAACACCCTCCCAGCGAGAATAAGAAATATTGCTGGAACAACAGTGAACATCTTCAAGGGGGAAACTAGATTGTTTCCTCCAAGGAGTGCCAGACCAACCTGGCTGTGGTGGGTATGTGGACCTGCGGGCCACTCCAAGCAACAGCCTAGTGGATCAAGCTCTCACAAGTCAAGACTGGCCTCACGCCGGGCTTGGGGAGTAGAAGACCTCCCAGAACCCCATTGTCAGGTTTTCCATCAACCCCCATCAAGCGGGTTTTCTTCTACTCAATAGCCATTCTGGTTTCATTCATCCACAATTCATTATGAAACTGCAGATACAAACATCAGCAAAATGTATCAAACAACTGGTGGTGGTGCTTCAAAACTAAAGCTAGGAAAGCCATTAATTTAAGAGGCGAAAATGCAAACGTTAAAGCAGGTAGGTTCTCCACTGCGGTCTATGCAGATTACCTTGGCTTTAGGCCTGGCTCCAATGACCGAGCAGACATTTATTTATTTTATTCATTATTTATTTATTTATATACAAGAAGGTACAGTGGGGGTTAAGAGAGAACATAGAAATGAAGTTGATTTTACATTCTTGTAAAGCCATTAGCACGCACAGCATTTTGGGCAAAAATTATTAA